GAAATGTGTACTATCTTCATACATGACACTTGAAAATAATTTTGACCTATTTTCTAAAAATAATACAATATATGTATGCATAGGTCATAGGGAATTTCCGAGTATTAAGCCTCTCAAGTCTAGCAATCAGTTACAAAAGATTATTGATATGTACAACTTTAATAAAAAAAAATAAGATGATTAGATGATAATTAGATGTCATGAACTATTTAGACCTCAAAAATCTACGCATTAAAAAAGTCTTAGTCTTAGTAAATTAAAAAACATAGGGAATTTCCGAGTATTAAGTATATTACCTGCCTCTTAAGTTATCAGTTACAAAGATTAATGATATGTACGGGGTGTCCCAAATTGGTTGTCCATATAGGCTATCTCAGTAAATATAAATGCTAGAAAAAATTCGACCACGCATCCCTGTCGTCTTTTTTAAAGATACATCGGTTGATGTCTTTGAATTTTCTCGATTCGCATTTGTTTAGGAGATATACCTATTTTTTCAATTTTTGCCAATTTTGACAAATGCTTGTAGCTTTGTTAATATTTGAGTTACGAATACAGGTTTTAAATATTATGTAGATACTTTTTATCACAGAATTCATTAGTGTAGACAGATTTTTTTGGGACACCCTGTACAACTTTAATAAAAAATAATGCGTTATAATCATTCAATATTCTTTGCATCTGCAGTTATAAGCGGAGAACAACTTACATGGAATCTTGGTTTAGTAGTACTAAACCAAGTTGGGACTTATGTACTAAATCTTCCCCATCAAAACCAATCCCTTGTCTATGCTCATGTATTTCGTCTTGAAAATTTGATTTTAAACATAATAATTCACCAAGTTTTTTCCTTTAAAACGATTATACCACAATGAACTTTAAATTCCAATCTTATTTGATTGCTCTTACACATAAAACTTACTTAAAAAAAACTTAAAAATAAAATTTATTTAGCAGCACTGTGTAATTTATTAAGTTCTCATGATTGGAATATTTGATAATATGATGATTAGATGATAATTAGATGTATAGTAATGAACTATTTAGACCTCAAAAATTTACGCATTAAAAAAGTCAGCCTTAGTTAAATAATAAACAGGGAATTTCCGAGCATTAAGTAAATATATTACCAGCCTATCAAGTCCAGCAATCAGTTACAAAGATTAATGATATGTACAACTTTAATAAAAAACAATGCGTTTTAATCATTCAGTATTTTTTGCATCTGCAATTATAAGTTACATGGAATCTTCAAGTATTGTACGGGATAATTGATTCTTGTTATTTTCAGGTTTTATATATTTAACAAGTCACGACTTGAAACAGTCAATGAAATGAGGTTATGACACAACAATCCGTCAAACAATAATTCTATAAGGATCATGGCAATCTTGGTTTAGTAGTACTAAACTAAGATGGCACTTATGTACTAAATCTTCCCCACCCAAACCAATCCCTTTATGCCTTGAAAATTTTATTTTAAACAAAATATTTCACCAAGTTTTTTCACTTAAGACGATTATGAACTTTAAATTCTAATCCTATTTGTATGCTATTACACATAAAACTTACTTTAAAAATAAAACTTATTTAGCAGCACGAGATAGTTAGGGAAAAAAATAGAATTTGAAAAAAAATTCATATCTTCTTAACGAAAAGTTTTGGCTAACTGTCCCTTAGTCAAAATGCAGTTTGGACTGTTTACTTTTTGATATAAAAAAAATAAAAAAATAAAAAATACACTTTTTGAAAAATTAAATTTTGAAAAAATTCCATACTTTTCGTTTTTTATCGTATAAAAAAATTATCACAATAAATTTGTTACTTTTAATGGAAAGTGTTAATAAGTATAAGCATTTTGCAAGTTCAATTGTCAAAATCGGTCAATTTTTGAACAAGTTATACGCAATTAAAAAAAAAGCTTTTTCGGTCAACGGAAAAAATCGATTTTTACCGCAAAAAATAAATCGCCAAAAATCAACAAAAAAAATTTTTTTTCGCCAAACAAAAAAATACGTGTCTCATTATTTTGACCAAAAAAGAACATATTTAAGTTTCATAGAAAAAGAAAATCATGACCCGCGCGTACCGGTCGTTTTGAAATGGAAAGACCCATATATAAATAAAATATCTAAACCGATTTATCGCTTATAAAAGAAAAAATTGTAAGAAAAATATAAAAACGGTAAATAGGGCCAAAGTCAAAATATGTATTTATAAGTACCATTTAATTTAGTCGGTTTACGTAATTTTGAAATATATGAATCATACCTGTATGCATTTACATACAATTCATAGCCTTAATGATATTATAAAAAATTAACAATATTTTTTAATATCTTACCGTGTTTGAAGAAAAATCAGGATCATGGTAACAGTTTTTAGAAAGTGGCATAAAATAATAACTATCCCATTTGGTACACACGTTATTATCTAACATTCCGTTAACCGTTACAATAAAAAATTTAACAACAAAAAATACCTTTAAAAGCATGTTTTTATTAAACGTACTATAAGTTGTTAAATGAATGTTTTTTTCTGATATTATATATATTGTATATTATCTTAAAAATTTCATTAGCAATTTAATTTAATTAACAAAAAATACTTAAAAATATAATTCATATTCAAACAAAATTTAATTATTTAAAAGTGAACCTATTAAAATAATTTTTCCTAATTTAAAAGTTAATATTATTAATAATACACTGCCCGTCAAAGTAACGATCTAAAATATGTAAAACGATTTTTTTTGTAAAAGCTGTCCTTTATTATTTATTCTATTAAGCATTTTTTTGTATGTACATGAGTATTGTATTTTAATTATACAATAATATTGTTTTTAGTTGTATTTTATATAATTTTTTGACCTGTCACAAACATGTATTTAAATGTAATGTTGACCAATTAATTTATTTTTATTAAATAATAATATAATTATACACTGCGTGTCAAAATTAACGCATATCAAGTAAAAAAAATCCAACTCTAAAACGCCTTTTCCAATCTTTATGAAATTTTGTATAAAAATAGTTCAACTGGTAAAAGTTTTTTTGAACGTTTTTTATTATTAAATAAAAGGGTTTTAAGGATATTTTTTCGAAAAACCCTTTAACAAGTAAACTAAGATATATGATAAAGTATTTTTATTCATAATTTTATAAAGATTGGTAAAAACGTTTTAGAGTTGGATTTTTTTACTTGTTATGCGTTAATTTTGACGCGCAGTGTATAATTATATTATTATTTAATAAAAATAAATTAATTGGTCAACATAACATTTAAATACATGTTTGTGACTAAAAACAATATTATTATATAATTAAAATACAATACTTATAAGTACAAAAAAAAATGCTTAATAGAATTAATAATAAAGGACATCTCTTTCAAAAAAAATCGTTTGGCATAATTTAAAAAAAAGATCTTTTATTTTTAAGCGAAATAATTATATAACTTAACATTTAAGGTACTTTTAAAGGATTTCTTGGTATAAATTAAGTTCTTAAAAAAATTATGTTTCTAGTAAATATTGTAAATATGAATAGTATGACTTACAATGTGACTAGATTTAGTGTAAAAAATATAAATAAATAGGCACGGTAGCGGCAAAATTTGTCCATAAATCTCGCGACGCTTTATGGGGGAAGGGAGGGTTTACAAAGTAAATCTCACTTCGGGGGGGTCTTTACCTCGTCACATTCTGTCAAGAGATTTATGGACCACGAGATTTATGGACCCTTAGCACAAAAAGACACTTCTCAGCCGAATGGCATACAACATTGTATCTTCAAGGCCCATTTTATATAAAACGTACAATTATAATAAAAAATAAAAAAAATTAAAAAGTAAGGCTAAATAGATGTGGCATAAGTCGAATTTTTTATTGGTCCAAACAGGTTCTTTACAGACAAGGGGATAAAAAACTTTACTTGGTTTGTCTAAATTATTTTTACAGCCTAGGCGATATTTAATCACTTTAGGACCTAGTAAGTGTTGACAATAATAAAGTTTAAATTATAGAACGCTTGAAGGTAAAAGTTAATTATGTCAAAAGGCTAAGAAGTAAGCCTCCACATTATTTTATCTTTGGGACAAAGTTTTATTTGTTAAACAATAAATAAAACCCACTTACAATTAGAATTGTAACCATTCCATTATTTGCAAAACTTGCTAATTGCTGGAAAGTATTTTTTTGGAAAATAAAAAAAACATTCACAAAATATTATTGTTGCTTAAGCTTTATAGGAGTGGAAAGTAGAAGTTTTCACCCTAAAAGAGTAACATATTTTTAGAAAAAAATTTATGTTTATTGCACATAGCCAGTTTTAAAAATAAACCTAATTTAAAAAAAGTTTAATAACGAAGGCAAGGGATTTATTGAGGAAAAAATAACTGTTTTATTTTTATTAATATAAATTAATATGTACGTAAGAAGTAAGTAAATATTAAAAAACAAATGGAAACTCTTGGGAACTTTCACAAACAAAACAGGAGTCATCCTCGGCATTTAGGCAGCTTTCCAAACCATCAACGGTTTCTTTTACTGAGGAGGAGGAAGAATCTTTCTGCAAGTGTTCTTTGTAATAATATAATTCTGAAAGGCTGGTCCAATTTTCTCCATAATGTTTTGCAAGGAGACCAATAATAGTCTTTTTGTCCCTTTTCAGTGTTTTCCCAAGTGGTAATTTCCTAGGAGCCATTGAAGAAAGGCAAAAGCACGTATTTATCACGTGGGCAACGAGCGTTTAATTTGATTGGCGGCAGAGCAAAGAGCAAATAGTTTTGCAAGTAAGACGTCAAAAAAGAGCCAGTTTTGCATATAACCGTTATTGTCTAGGCAATATTTGCATGCTTTAAAGGCATTTTTGCAAATGTTCGATTTTAATATTGAAATTCCCGTTAAAATTTAAATACGTTTGCATAAATAAACAAATATATATAGTAACAATTTACAGTCAAAAAAGAAAATTTGTCAAAATTAATGACAATATTGTCAAAAGAGCAACGAATTTATTTATTAAAGTGCTATTGTAAAGGTAATAAAGCAACTCGAGTTATCAAAGAATTTAATCAAAATTTTCCTGATATTTACATCTCAAAATGTGGAAAACAAAAAATAATAAAAAAATTCTTAACTGCCAATTGTATTGGATGTAAAGAAAACTAAGGTAGATTGTAATAAAGATGACGCTGACACTCTTACTGTAATGGATTCGGTACAAAATAATCCGAAACTTTCTTTACGACGATAATCGCTTCAATTAGGGACAAGTAAAACACATTCATACTGAAAAAAACATTTTTTAATCATGCTTTAGAGCCCAGAAATTCTGCAAAACGTTTGGATTTCTGCTTGTGGATTAGTGCTCAAATCATGGATAAGCATAACTTTTATCGAGATATTATATTCTCTGATGAAGCTACGTTCTCAACCAATGGAAGTATTTCATCTTAGCATGTGAGGTACTGAAGCAATCACAAATCACATTTTTGAATCGCTCGTAAGCGACAATATTCGGCTAAAGTTAATCTAAGGTGTGCAATTTCTTATTATAATTGGACCATATTTTAAAAAAAAAACGGTTAATTAGCATAAGTATTTAGATATGATTAATTATCGTGTTAGGTGTTACTTTCAACAAGATGGTTATCCTGTCCATTATGCTCCAATAGTGGAATGGTTGAATCAGCAATTTGAAAAGAATTGAATCGGCTGAAATGGTCTACCGAGGAGCCATGATTTGACTATTGCAGATTGTTATCTTTGGGGCCGTTTGAAACAAATAGTTTATGCGAATGATCTTCCTCCGAATGTTGAACGTTTGAAGGAGAGAACCAGAGATGCTGTAGCGTCTTTACCTCTAGAAGAGATACAAAAAAGTTAAAAAATGTGGTGAATGGTGAATAATTATTAGTAGTTTAATTTTTGAATTGTAATAAAAACTTCAAGTTCAACTAAATCGACCAATTTTTTTATGTTTCTCTGGAACGAAAAGGAAATTTGAAATGGTGAGAACTGATTCAGCCATTTTGGAACAAGCAAAAACTATCATGAGAATACATTTTTATCGAAAAATGGAATATAAGAAAGTTTCTTCTCTTGGCAACCCCATCCGGGATATGTTAAACAAATATTTGAAATATTCCCAAACAACAAAACAAAACACAGTGCTTAAAAGCACTTTGTGTTGGGGAATATTTCAAATATTTGTTTAGCTTCAGAACTGTCAGTATTTATCGAATTTTTACAGACTAAGATGTAAAAAACTTCACCTGATAGGTCTGAATTATTTTTGCAGACTAGGAGATAATCGAATACTTTGGTAGTAAGCGTTGCACAGCCACACAAAAAAAAAAAAGTCAGATACTTTTTACGAGACATATGTATTTCTATGTATTTTGACTCGCTGAATCCGAATCCGAGGTCAAAATAGGACCTTTCACGATTGGTTTTCGACATAACCTCAAAAAACCGGTTTTTCAAGTATAGAATGGCGAAACAAAGTTTGATTTTAGATTTCAAGCTGCTGAATTCATATACAGGGTGGTCCAGGATTAATCTGAAAAATTTTAATGATCGATAGAGCCTGAAAAAACAATAAAAACAAACCCAAAAACATTTTTCAAAAATGCATACTAACGGAGATATAGTCCTTCAAAATAATTTTTAAACCATTAAACCGATTCTTCTCAAATTTTGTGTAGGTTAAGCTTCCGTCGATAATATAATGAAAATTTTCTGCAAAAGGCCCAGTGGCGGAGTTTTTGGGAGGGGTTTCCCCTTTTTACCCTCATATTTTCGACTCCACTGGATTTTATTAGAAAATCATCAGATTTATTTTTATTCTTTTTCAATCTAAAAGCAAAACTTTTATGTTTATTTTTTATCAGATCAACGGAGATATTTCAGTTTAAAATTTCAAAAACACTGTGTACACGGAAATTTTGTTATTATTTTAGTAATAAAAAATTATTTTTTTTCTGGACAATTGTATTGGGCCAATAAAAATTTACCAATGAAATTATGGAATAATCACTTTCAATAGGGTGGTTTTTGGGTTTGTTTTGTATTATAATACAATTAAATTATTAATTACAGACGTTGATTGTAATCCTCAATCAACGTTACAAATTGTAACTTACAATAAAACAACCTAAAAATATGACGGGATCAGTAACAACTGCACGATGACTGGACGCTAGTTTATTTTTATAATATTTAATAAACTGATAACGTGGCATAATTGTTACCAAGTTACCGATTTAAAATAAAATATGATACAATTCTGTGTACTCGGTGTTTTTGAAATTTTAAAGTCTCCGAAACCACTGATCTTATGAAAATTTAACACACAAGTTTTGCTTCTAAATTGAATAAGAAATCTGATGATTTTTCAATAAAATCCAGTGGTGTCGAAATATGGGGGTAAAAAGGGGAAACCCCCACAAAATATCCGCCGCTGGGCCTTTTGTAAGAAATTTTACCTAGGTACACAA